GTCACAACCTCTGTTCCTAGCTTCTTATTGCTTGTCGCCCTTCTACTCGCCGCCATCCTGCCTGCTCTACCAACCTACCCTCCTACTGTTGTCGCAGGCCCCATCCAGACCTGATCGCCGCAACACCACATCCAAACACCATCTACACGTCTACCCCCTTATTGCCAAGCCATCGTCCACCATTCTCATCTTCACCCTAGAGTTGTTTGTGTTTGTGTTGCTTTATTTCTATTTATAATATCCTTGTTTCAATAATATTTACGTAATGTCGCCAGTTGGGTTAACTCCAGTATCAATTCTAAACTTTAACAAATCTCTCTTCACCCTCATAAAATTCCTTTGTTGAATCACATTTTGTTCATCTACATCAATCACATCATATCAGACTTGATCCCAGGTCAATCAAATGCATATTTGGGGCTACTGTTCAAACAAAAATGGTTACAAATGTCTCTCTAGAGACAAAAATTCTACAACTCTATGGATGTCACTTTTTTTTGAAACCAACTTTAATACCCCAAATCTAACATTTAGGGGGAGAGTTGGAGAGAATAGCAAATTTGGGGTACCATTCAGGAACCTTAAGCTAACCTCCCTTCTATCTTTGATGAACCTACTTATCTTCCCTCTATCACAAATTAATCTGAAAAATAAACCTACTATACTAAATCCTCCCACAACTCCCACCAATTAACATGAACTCTATGTGTACACAAAAAAGAAAAAAATTAGTGAGCATTTAAGGTAAAATATGCAAAATAAAGAATGCAGATCATCATAACCAACTCCAAACAACAAAAGTATTCACAGAGGTTGGCTCAACATATTATGAGAACCAAGAGGAAGAGAGAGAGCAAATGAGTGTATAAAACACCTGATAGAAGAATTTGTGACCCATGAAGAATTGTTGTCTTACAAAATTTTTGTTAAAAAATTGGATAATGTGCAGGCCCCAAATTCAACTCAGAGGCCTCATATATTCGTGCTTGAAGAGCGATTGTGGAAGAAAACTTTCTTGCATTTGAAAACGATGGTATCTGAATTATAGCAACTTTGTCACCTGGGAAAAGTATTGTAGGGTGCAAATAAGCATTCAATGTTAAATATAAAGAATATCGGAGCATGGAAAGATTCAAGGCTAAACTTGTAGTAAAAGGGTTCTCTTAATCCCATGGGATCGACTACTGGGAGATTTTTGCACCAGCGGTGAAACTCAATACAGTAGGAGCATTACTTTCATTGGTTGTCAACCATGACTAGCCTTTACATTAGCTTTACTTTAAAAATGCATCTCTTAATGGGGATTTTGAGGTAGCGGTGTATATGGAATTACCTCTAATATTAAAGAATAACACAAATAATCAGCTAGTGTGTATGCTAAAAAAACCATTATCTGGGTTGAAACAATCTCCTAAGCTTGGTTTGAAAGGTTCACAAAGACTATTCTTATAAATGGATACTATCAATATTCACTTTGCTTATGAAATCAAATAAAAAAGTATGATGGTCATTCTTATTGTATATAAAGATGACATTATTTATACAGGCAATGACGTAATGAAACTTGAAACACACAAAAGACTAACAACTTCTGAGTTTGTGGACAAAGATCTTGAAATTTTTAGATACTTCCTGGGAATGGAAGTAACTAGATCTAATGAAGGTGTTGCCATATCCTAGAGAAAATATATAGACTTATTAAAAAATATCAGATTGTTGGGGTGTAAACCAATAGATACTCTTATGGTTTTCAATCAAACAACATCAAAAAATGAGGATAATACCCTAGTTAAAAAGGGAGGTATCAAAGGCTTAAGGGGAAACTTATGTATTTATCACATACATAACTTGACATTATTTTTCTATGGGTGTGGCGAGCAAACTTATAAACGATCCAAATGAATATTATTTGGAAGCGGTCATTCAAATTCTGAGATACCTAAAGATGACTACAGGACGTAGATTGATATTTAAGAAAACTGAGAATTGTATCATTAAGATCCACATTGATGCTAGCTGGGCAGGAGAACTAACTAGTAGAAGATCTGCACTGGGTGTTGTTCATTTGTATGGGATAAATTGGTTACTTGGAAAAGTATAAAGCATATTATGGTAGAAAATAATGCAGAATATGAGTATCATGCCCTGACCTTAGGAGTTTGCGAAGGGATTTGACAAATGATATTGCTAGTAGAGCTACATGTGGAGAGCAAAATCACTATTGTGATGTTCAATAATAGTAAATCAGTTTTTAGTATTTCAAAGAATCCGGTATACCATGATCGAACCAAACATATAGATATTGATAGACACTTCATCACTGAGAAGGTCAATGGATGGGTTGTCTAACTAAGTTGTATTGCAACTCGGTATCAGATTGTTGACATTCTTATCAAGGATCTTCCTCAGCACCACTTTAGTGGTCTCAACAACAAGTTTGAGATGTATGACATACAACCTAACTTGAGGGAGAGTGTGAAATGCATATAAGCATATGGATCACATGGGCCCAATCATAGTTTAGTAAATTGTCCGCTGCTGTACTTGAGAGGGAGAAATTATTATCCATTACAATGTTTTTTGTTTTTTCCTTTTTATCATGATGATTTGAATTTTCCTCCAATAGTATTAGGGTCAGTCTAAGTTGTATATATTTGTTATGTTCTTGTATTAGTTTAATGAGAAAAGTAGAGATTTTTTCTTCTAAGAAAGTTCCTCCTAAATTCCACACCAATGTGTAATATTTTATCATAATTTTCGAAGTATTCCTCATAATTAACTTTGATGAACTTTTGGTGCTTTAATTTCTTTAAGCAAGCACCTGGGCTTGTGCTTGGAGTCTCGGGTATTGGGTAGTTTATCGCTTTGAGAGTACTTGATGCTTTTAATTAAATCATGGATAATTGGATAATATATATGGCTTTATCGCTTTGAGGATACAAAGTGCTTTCAATTACAATTAGGGGGACTATTGCTTTAGATTGTGACAAATCTACCTTGGGCGTGGACCAAAATGTTGTTTAACATAATTTATGTTCATGTATTTTCTTAATTGATATTGCACATGCACAGACTGTGCAAGTTACTATTTATGTATAAGATAGCCCATGTGATGATTTATATAATGTTAAACTTCTCTTTAAACTCAATATGACATAAAAAATGTTATCTTGAACTTGAAAATAATGGTGACTAATGTTGAAGTTACATAGAAGACTAATAAAATCATTAAATATGGGTATTGGTAGAATGCATCAATAGAGGTATCAATGGACTGCGTCAACAAATAGTATTAATAGAAAAGGTTCAAGAATATTATTAATAGATAAAAAAAAGGGAAATAGACAATTGAGATTGGCAGTCATGCAATTGGTACATGGTAAGAGGCTACAAGTGCCATTCAATAGTGGTCCATGAGCAAGTTGCATGCATAGATGTTGAATGGTTGGGTCTCATTAGCTTTGATGAATCAATAAAAGTTTATATTAAAGGGGTAGTTCATAATGGTGAGGCCCAAGAGGGTGATGGTCCATTGCAATGCGATGAATAACACATATGTCGTCGTATTTTGATCAACTTAGGAGGAATAAGAAATAATTAAAGGTTCATAAATGTGAAAGATATGTGCTAGAGTGTGAGATGACAACTTGAGCACGAGTAATTCATGGTCCAGATTTTGGATATGCACATAGCAAGAACTCTTAATCAATAAGAAGGTGCAATCATGGGTGTTGCGCACGAAAGATTAGTTGAAGCCAAAGCAGATATGAATATTTTTTATTACGATTCAACCCGAGGCTTGGAATTATTCAAGACATTAATGGATGGTGGGAAAAAAAGTTACTGTTATCCTATTCCATTCACTAATAGTATAATATCTAACTATTAATTGAAAGTACCACTAGAGAAAATAATTAAGTTGACCAAAAAAAATAGTCTCCTTTCAAGTTGCTAACCTCTTCTAAAAGTAGATCTATTTTGAAATTTTCTCTAAGCTCAATCATTTCCCGAGTTAGCATTTGACGTGAATCTCTGATTAGAATTAGGGCAATTCCTCATCTGATGTTCAGATTGTCTGCATAAATAATACACTTTCAAACTAAATAGATATTCACCTAGATGTTGTTTTTCACACTTAAGACATAGTTTTATACTATTGTTGTCAGCTTTATTAATAACTCCATCATTGTACGACTTTATTTTCTTCTCATTAGACTCTCTAGAATGAGCTGACGATGATAAAAATAGGAATAATAGAAATTTTTTTCCTACCGTCTGACAGTCTTTTTCCATTTTGGTTAATTTCTTGCCCCAGACCTAGTCGTGATAAATTTTATGGTTATATATAAACACTATATAATATAAAGGAGATTTTCATATAGGAGATTCCATGAGAAAAGATAAAAAAAAAGTCTTGTGAGAAGAACAACTAGTCTCATTTAAGATAATGTGATATATTCAAAAAGTTCTTATCATCAATTTTTAAGTTTGATAGTTAAATTTAAATATAAACTAGGAAAATCTAATTCATAAGTATTCTAAATATATCCTTTAGGGTTAATTATCTTTTCGAGATCTCTATGAAGCACTTTCAATTATAGAGGCACGATTGTGCTCTTGTTCAACTAGGATAAATATCAAAAGGCTAGACCGTGAATTAATTTGATCAATTTTGTGAGGCAACCTATGGTTCAAGGCAAAGTTGAACCATGAGATAAGAGTTTGAATTAATAATTCCAATCAAGCAACAACCTTTCTACGGCGGAAATCCTTTGAAATAATGATTAATTGAGTCATTTTGAGCTTGTCTTTTTTTGAATCAAAGCAAATGTATTTCAGCTTCAACTGAATCTTTTGCATATTTCTTACGATTTAATTTCTCTTTAACTTTATGCCGCATGCTTGTCATTAATCACTCGCTTTTGATTGCTTTGTTAAGTATATCTACATTACATTATTTAAAAAAGTTTACATGCCTTTTTTGTTTCACATTTCTATAGATGTGGAAATGTGGCAGCTATTCTCGAGCTGGATGAAAATTTAAATAAACAGTTTCGTGTTTTTGAAGCTGCTCCACAGGTTTGTATTTTGTAACCCAGCATTTTCAGTCGCTTTGCAATACTAATTGTCTTAATAAGGCTATATACCAAATGCAGGAAGCAAGAGGGGTTCCTTCTAAGAAGCCTGCCCCTGATTACTTCCTCTGAGTTGGAGCGGAGAGATTATCACTTTTTCAAGCTGGCATGAGCTCATTGGTTTTTGCCCATGCTGCAGTGAGCTGATGCCTTTTGCAGTCTGAGCCTTCTGCTTCCCAGGCATGTCCCGATGCATCAGTATTGTTGGTTTGGGCATGCTGATTAGTTCGCATAAATTGCAATATTAGAAATATTTGGTTGTCTGGGCTGCAGGTATAGAATCCCATGTGTTTTAAAACTGCAGTGAGGTAAAATTATTGGTTTGGAGTGACTTTGACCTTAGATTTCAGTTGAAGCATAAAATTTCAAACTGTTTTTATATTTTATATTTTATTTTTTATTTTTTTGAAGTTTCAAACTTTAGTTTACTAAGTAACATGGAAATAAGAATCCAATTTTCTCTTATTTTATTATATGTGAAAATTTTCGATATGTTTGTTGAGCTTGGTTGCAAGGTTTGGCCTACTGAATCTAGGTGTATCTATTTTGACATCTTGAGTGTACGTACCCTCATTTTACCTGTCTTAGATCTATTATTTCTAAGATTTTTCATATTAGTTGGACTCATCATGATCAATGTGGGAGCTTGCTGCTCTATCATTTCATTATTGAACCTAACGAAATCACTAGATGTCATGTGTTCCTATTGAGTGCTATCTAAAGTGTTAAACATATTCTTCACGGATCATTTTAAACAACTACTGTCCATAGACTTTTTAAGTTTTCTCAGTTTTTTTTCTTAATCCTATTAATAATTTAATGAATTCTTTTAATAAGAATATTTTTAACCCATTCTTGCACATTTAAAACCAACCAAGTCTTTTTAGTCACTTCATGTTCAATGTACATGCCTTTCACTTCCTTTAATATAATCATTCTTGGATTTATTTTTTTTAGTTTTATCACACCTTAATCTTAACATTCTCATTTTTAACATATTCAACATAGATATATATTATTTTTTTTCAACTCAGCATGCAAATATATAAAATGTTAGCTTAATTTTAGCTTTATAGAAACTATTACTAAAATGTTCTATGATATTTTTCTTATTGCACGGAACTTTGAGATAATATTTTATGTTAGCCATCCAACCTTAATTTTATAAATTATATTATCTTATATTTTCTCATTTTTCTTTATGATAGATGTTGAACATAAAAAAGAATAAGAATAAAATAAATAAAACCCTACCTATTCCCTTTGGCAGCAAAACTCTCGTAACCGTTCGTGCCCTGATCTTCTATCTTCCTCTTTATTTATGCACGACAAAAATTTCAAGGAGGAGGGGCATCAGAAACCCATCGCCAAATGATGTTCATTCGTTTCCAATAACATAAGCGCGCACAAACCTCCCTTTGTGATCAAGATCTTCCCAATACAGTCATGGCTCAAGGCGAGCGAGGAACATCAACGACACGGTTACAACATACAGAGACCCTCTAACCGACCAACCCCGTCCACCACTCTTCCCTGCCTCACATCACACTCTTCTCTATTGTTGACGCTAAAACCCTTTTCTTTGCCTCACAAGAAACCGCAGGCTCTCTCACTTGTATGTCAAATCCACTCCACTATTCAGTTCTACGCAGGTGACCTTCCTTCTTCTCAAATTCTTAGAGTCAAATTCTGCGCTTCAACCCATCGAAGAGAGTTTACTGTTCCCCTTATTGTTTTCTCTGCATTATAAGTTACCTCTAACACGCCTCCTTTGCAGTGAAGCCATGCCCAAGTCGTTCGAGCCACCTGTGCGAGCCTCTAGTCTCCCCTAACCCGCACCCGAGTTTGCTTCCCTACTTCTGCTTCCAATTGCGCCAACTCCTTACTGAGCCATTACTCCTTAATCGAGTCCGAGCTTGACCCGTGAGCCCTCCGCCCATCCAAACCCAATTCCCCACTTACTGTTTCATACTTTGTATTGTGCATTATAGAAACTAAATGAATGTGTTGTGTTTTTATTCTTTTGTCGTCACAAATCGCCAGTGTCAAAATCGTCAGAGCTCGAAAAGATAAATGTAGGGACATCTGACTCACTTTATTTTTATGCAGGATAATCGAAGTCCTGTCCGTGTCTTATATGCTGGTAGATTTGAAAATTCTCTTTGGCCGTTGTATCTCACTACACTGATCAGCGCGTCTTTTAAGATGTTTGAGAAGGTTAACATTCTCTAATGCCCCCTAATGGGTTTGACAACGGGAGGCTGCCGTAATTTCGGGTGAATTTGGACTTACAAAATAATTTAAAATTTTGACTTTATAAACTATAAAATCACCTAAAATTGAATTATTTGAGCTTTCAAACTTGCAAAAATAAAATAAATTACATATTCGAAATTGGATTATCAAGGCTTGTTAGTGATTTTTAAAATTTGAATTCTTTAAATTACTTAAATGTGAAGAATTAGGGGGTAAACTTAAATTGAATATTAAATTCTATAAATTGAGGCTAAGTTTAAGTTGAATATGAAATATCATAAATTGGGGGTCATAAATTTAAATTGAATATCAAATTCTATATAATGGGCTACGCTTAAGTTGAATATGAAATAGCATAAATTGGGAGGGCTAACTTATAAGGTTAAATTGAATATGAATTGTCACAAATTGAGAGGCTAAACTTAAATTGAATATTAAATTCTTGAAATTTGAGGTTTAATCTAACTTAAATGTTAAATATCATATATTGGTGATAAATTTGAAGACATTATTTTGAAATACTAAAATAAATTAATATTTCAAATCCTGCCACCGAAGATTCGCAACATGTTTACAAGAGGATAGAATGCTGTATTTTATACGGTTTAAAGTGAACCTCTACATGCATCAATATATTCATTCAAAGAAGGTAAATTTATATAAATTCAAGTTTTACATGTACTTCAATTCATGCTTTAAAATTATGCAAATCACCTAAAGACACAAAGTTTTCTGAAATAACAAAATATATGAAATTCAATGCCCGCATCTGCTCCAACCATTGAATTCTCAAACACAAAGTTTGAGAATGTTGCGGGGCTAAACCGGTCGTCTTGTCTATAGGATATAGTTATAAGTTTCACTTAACTTGTTCGATGCTCCTCCTTGCAAATACTGAAGTTGACTAGTTTAGTAATTTTGAAAGAAATGCTCCATTCTTAAAATTTGAATTTGCAAGTTCAAATCACCTAATCCGGTTCTCCTACCTATAGGGATAGGAATCGACAAAACTTATAATTTGAAAAGCTTAAACTAATAAAACTAAATGCCCCCTTTTAAATATAAAAGCTTTAAAATGTTTAATACCTCATTGATGACCGTGTTGATCGAAATTTTTCAACCGGAGGGTTCAATCTTATAGGATTTTCAAAATAATCAACTGAAATTCAAGTTAAAATTCAATAATTTAAAAGCTAAAAGCAAACTCTACCTGCCCTCTGCAACATTTTATCAGAAGTGACAAAATTTTGATTGACTTCAGCTCACAATGAACTAATGTGGTATTAAGTGTATCCCTATATTCACAATCAAAGTAATTGCAAACCAATAAGGACATGACCCTAGTTCTCTGTCTGCGTGATTCTGCCATCAAATGACACTACAAAGTAGCTGTTACGACCAGAGTCCTCTGATCAGGTAGTTGTCGCCCAATGACACAATTGTATTACAGTCACGACTGCAACTTGTTTATTCCCTAATGGTTTTCTACCATTTGAGTTGTGAATTGAATAGGTACAAATGATTGACACAAAGCCTTCTGTTATTTAAGTTCGACTTAAATTTGTCCCTTTTTACAAATATCCACCACATATATACAAGGATCTCTTGGACGACGCATCCCATGCCTGCTGACAAAAATTTTTCTATCAGGTTGGGTCGACTATCTCTTCTGACTAAGTAAATCAGAGACCACGACGATCCAGAATGATAGAACCATGAGATCTTTACAGGTTTAATTTTCATTCCCCCACCATTCTCTTTAAGCTTAAAGTGATAAATTTTACAATTTAAAATCAGAATCCTGCTATTATTGTATCCTGAATATTCAATTCTAATTGACTAGCCTTAATTGAAAGTGCTCTCCTGTTATCGGGAGAGATAATTAACCATAGGGGCTTGCACGTAACAGATCAAAAAGTCCTTGCAAATGAGGGAGAAATCTCTGGGCAGTGTCTTATCTACAATCCAATCCGTCATCTAAAAATTTGACCCTCCAAAACTCGTTTAACAACCAAAAAAAAAAAGAAAATTGCAAAGAGTTTCATGGGAGAGGCCGATTTTTTTGGAGCCCACAATAAGTCAGAGATATTTAAAACTATTCCACCAAATTATTACTTTATCTTCAAGTAATATTATATGTTGATTTTTAACATCATGCTATTAAAATTATGTTATATATTCAATCTTTTTAAATTCTACTAATTCTAAGTTATTCTATCTTTTAAACATTTTCTTTATTGCTCTAATGTTTTGCTGATTTTAGAAATGTCTCGCCAATCAGAATGTTATCATTTACAAAGGCACTTACCAAGGCATTTTATTTTGAATATCCTACCTAAGCATCTCCATAAAAAATACAAACTTTATGGACTCAATACAAACCTACGGTTATTGAAAATACTGTGGTCACTTCATAACTACTTCTAAGATTAATCTATGTTCCATCATAAATGTCTTTAGTACTGTAAACATATTATCATCACAGATATATTTGCTAAATCAATTACTATGGCACTAGGCCATATAAGTTGTCAAAATCAATAAAATTCATTAAAAGTTTATTTCATTGTTTGTACTTCTTCATTAACTATATTAATAGAAAAATTGCTTTTGGCAACCATTAGAGAGAATTTGCTGAGTGATCATTTCATCATCTGTGCTGAACTTAAACCAGTATAGGGAAACTACTAGCAAAAAAAATCCACCAATAAAGGAATGGAAAATAACTATAGAATTATTTACACTCTGGACTATCTTAAATTGGTGATTGTCAATAATAATCTTAAAGATCTCTGGGGTGGAATGATGTGAATAATGAAGGTGGAGAATAGTTGCTTTGTTGAGACATTAATGGAAGCAAAGTTGTTGGAGATTTATTTTTTCATACCCCCCCTCAAACAAACGAATGAATTTTTTGTCTATTTCAAGTTTGCATTCTAGTTTTTGAAATATTATTCATGATAATCCTCTATTGAGAATGTTTGCAAGTTTTTCTTCTGTGGCGAAGAATGAAGTAATGTTCTTCTATTGTTTAGTTCATTTATAAAATGCCTACTGTTCAATATGTTTGTTCCATCATGTTGATTTATGTGCAATATTATTGTTGACTTGTTATAATAAAATCTTATGGATCTTTCCATTCAACCTAAAAATCTCCTCAGATAATTTTCATTCATAATAGTTCACATATTTCTAGTTTCATAGATCTAATTTGATT